TTTATATTGATGGTTATAAGAATATTGACCAGTGTTTACAATCACTGAAACATCCTCTTCTTAAGTCACAAGTGATTCATCTATCAGAAGTGAAATCCAGGAAAGGTCACATAAATCCTCTTTAACTTTGCGGGACAATCTTTCAGTCCATACAAAAAAAGATTTGTAATCCTTTAACTTCACGAATCACCAGACTCGAACATGTGAAGTTTTCCACTTCTAGCCACGTTAAAATGACCAGATAAATCACCTTAGCAACAGGTCCAAAGTATGATTGAAACACAACTGGCCAAACTTGAGCTTGGAATTACCATCAAACTTTATTTACCAATTACCGGACGTCTTCAGCAGTTTAGACCTACTGCTAATCATGTTAAAGCACCAGATAGAACTCAGCGTTATGGATAATCGGGTCCCTACAGCAATTAAGTACAGGATAAAACTTGACATGCCGTGTTACTAAGCCGCAATGCAGCCATCAGGGAAGGCCTGATACTTTAGCACCATGGGTTTCTCTCTAATGTGCATCACTGAATTGAAGTATGACATATATGTATATCAACCAGTGTGCACACATAGCAAAAGACAGATTGCAGACAGGTCAGTGATAGAATCAAAGCTATTAATAATATCCTGGTGATGACAATTCAGATACGACCTACAGTAAGACAACCCAGTAACTATATGCAAACCAATTACCTCACCTGTTTGGAATAGGCGCGGAGTTTGCAGAATGACAAATGTTATTAGGATGATATTGTGTACATGTAGAACATACAGGCGTGAAAGCGTTGACACTATCCTGAATCAATACTGAGTGGCTGATGATGGCTGTTAATACAAAAGACTTGAGAAAATGACAAGGGCAGGATCAACAGCTCCAGGAAATGTAATGGGGAAGTTGTGTTGTATTAAGAAAATAATTGAATGATTGCATAATACATGAAGGCTGTTCAGAGGATGATGAATACACAGGGTCAGTTGATGTTTTGAAGAAGAAGAAGAAGAAGAAAAAACACCACAATGGTGTCAAGTGTTACAAGGGCTAGATTGTTGATTCATGATGAACTTTATGACAAAATCAGCATTAAAAATTGTTGGTTGTAATGATCTCATAAAAACACACAGACCTGCAGCAAGGGTAAAGGTCAATACCGATGCTCTTATTGTTGCTGTGTAAATAATGACTGCAGTCTTAAAGAGTTAAGCAGTGCGACATTATTTTAGTGCTGAAAGATTGGGAAACATATCTGACTTTGTCTCCTTTTATGTATAAAGTATATTGTATGTTGCACTTTTGCCGGGCATGGGACTTCAGATAATAATTGCCAATAACTACGCTGTATCTATTGTGAATCTTGTAGAACAGTCCAACTCACAATGGATAGTTGTTGAAGTTCTGAAATCCATAAAGCAACCAGATATATTGTACATTTTATTCCAAATCTTCTTCTTCTATTTCAAAAACCTGCCGCCTTTATTTCTCTCAGTGCAAGACTGTCGCCAGTTACGGTCAGAGATTTCGTTTTTTGCAGGGGTCATCTGTATAGTGTCCTCATTGAATCAGAAGGTAATGCTCCATTAATGCATGCAGTGCTGATGTTTAACACCGATGCCAAGATGCTGCTCCCATATGGAGAGAGAAATAAGAGAATTGAACATGGTATCTTCAGCTCATTAATCACATCCAGTGCCTTCTAATTGGGATGTAAGCTATGTACATAATTTAACCTGACAAAATGTAAATGAGTCTGGAAGCCCTCTGATTATTGATTGCCAAGGGACGTTATGAACGGTCCCAAGACCCCATTGGATAGACCTACAGCCAATTACAACATGAGCTGAGTGACAGAACAGTCTGCAGTTCTACAGGTTGCACAAATGTGCTGTAATGGTTTATTTTCAATGATATGTCCGTGAACGAAATAGAAGTTTAATCATTTACCATCCGGTTCTTTCAATACTGATGTAAAAGGTCTTTTAACGATAGGTTCCACATCAGCTGCAGCCATCTTGGTTGTTTAAAAAATAGCTCAACAATGCTTCTGTTTACAGTCATCGTCTCAGACTCTTTTATAATAAATAAACAATTTTGATTGGCCTGCCAGATTTCAAGTTCCTGAAAATCTGTTTCAAGCAGACAGGGAACAGACGCATCTGCCAGGCCAAATAAAACATGAGCTCACAGATAAGTCTGGTTCCCAGGCAAGATTTCTGCATCTCGGTGCATTCAAATTTGCATGTGTTGTACATACTCAGCAGTTTTGTTTTCAATAACCCTCACTAGGGTCTCTACGACCAGCAGTATCTTCCTTCACATCCAATTCTTGCTACTGTTGTGCCTAAAAATAACCACAGTGGAAAGTAGATGGGATCAATGTATCCCTCATTGTTTTGATTGGATCAAAATGTTATATACCAAAAAAAAATGTTTCCAAAACATTGATTCTCTTTTTTGCTGTTAAACACTTCTGAAATCCCGCCTGTTGTAAGTCTCTAAAGGCCCAGACACACCATGCCGATATCGGCCGTCTTTGGTTGTCTGGCGACAAAGCGTGCCCTGTCGCCCAAAGTCAATTTGGTGTGTCCCGAACCCTCGGCCGTGACACGCCTTATTTGGCCTTTCACGGTCGACACATGGCCGATTCAACATGTTGAATCGGCCATTTGTCGGACACAAGCTATCGGGCCAAGAAACCACTCTGATCAGCTGTTCAGCTAGCAAATTAGAAGCGAAACGGAAGTGAGGGACGTAAACAAACGATTTCAGAAGGCACAGGACAGCAGCTAAACCCCAGCAGGTGATACTTAAAGACATCAAACATAGCCCTTAAATGTCCTCTCTTACCTCCCACACATAGCAGGGACATCTCTGATATCGGCGGGAGCGTCCCCGGCTGTCCTCTGCTGAGAGCTCCGTGATTTGTTTGGTCAAGTCCGGTTTTTCATCTCATCGGTTTATTTGTCAGTATAAAGTTGCAGGATTAGTCTCAAGTACCTCAACATTGTCCTTAAGTACAGTGTCTAAGTAAATGAGATACTGTCTACTGCTGTTCATTTACCTATTGTGAGTCGCCTCGGATAAAAGCATCACATGGAAATGTAAATTTAGCAAGAAGTGGCCATTATTACATTACTACATTGCTGACTCAATAAACTACACACCCGCCAGAACACTGCGATCATCAGATGCAGGTCTATTAACTGTGATTTGATAGTATGTCTGCACTTTATGTGCTCATTTCATCATTCATGTATTTTTATATTCTAAAACATGTTTTCGATGGACGAGAGTGAAAATGGAACGCACACGCTATTTGTTGTTTGTTTATATCAGTCTATTCTTCTTCTCTGTCTTCCGGTTGTTGCCTATTTTGAATGATGAATACACACTACCGCCGCCTGCTGGTAAGGAGAGTTATTGCCACTCACGCATGCGCAGTTCGTACGTGCTCGGCTGAAGTCTTTGTGGTGTGTTCCAGTGCGACCAAGACGCAGGAGAACTCGCCGATGCAACAGTCGATGTCGGTGTCGGCGAGTTCTCTGGTGACTGCCTGGTGTGTCAGGGCCTTAAGATCTCTTTGTCAGGCTCTGCTCTGCTCCCCATCTCCCAGTAATCAATTAGTTAAATTACTAGCAGTTACTTAATATCTGTCACACACTGGACACCGCTGTCTAATTAGCACTTTTACTGTAGTTGTCCGAAAAGGGCTACGGAAAATCAACGCTTATTATGACTAGAGCATTTGTTGTAAATACATTTGAGACGGTTGCAAAGGATGACGCTGACATCACTTCACAATTGAAATAAATAAATAATTTATTTTTTATTGCATTTCCAAAGTTGTGACTCAATATCCTACTCCAAAGAAAAACTTGTATCTTGTATTCCCCTCAGTTTCCCCACTGGTAAAGCAGTGTAAAAACAGAAACTCTAGCATCCTTTGTGAAGTCTAGCTGAAATACAGATACTCTAGAGATGGAAAGAATAGCAGAGGACATTGTCAAAGTTGATTGTGTGCCTTGCAATGAAGAAATATGTCAATCAAATGTAAATGTAAATTCGATTAGATTAACCTGGACCCTATTTTCACATGTTGTATCTCTAAGTAACTAATGGTAACCTCATATTTTTCTAAATCGGTCCAGTATTGGGCAAGAAAGCAGATGGCAGCTGCAATATGGGTGACAACATTATAAAAAGTACCCTACAGAGAAGTGTGTCTTGTTCGGAAATCCTGCTTCGCATCCACATGATCTTTTCCTGGAATTTGCAAGTGATAGTAGTTTAAGAAATGGGGTTGCATAATCCTTTGATGAACACATATAAGTAGTGATATGTTATAGACGTCAAAGTTGAATTAATCAAGACCTTTCTCCAAAATACAGCCTTGTAGCTTGGTAATATCCTCTGAATTTTCCAAAACGAAACTCTTGTGTGGTTCACCAACAGAAACGGATTCCTATAATTGTGGCCCAACAGCGAAACGTTGTCTAAAGAGTCAATTAAGAGGAAACATAAATAGTAAAACAAATTAGGGCAAATAACTAAATACAACTGCAACACTGCTTGATTGTTGATGTGTTCATAATAAGCTTAGGTTTACAGAAGAGTGTGTTACTGACATTTATCTCACGCTTCCATGCTTACATGACGGCTTCCGATAAAATGACTAATGAATTTACAAAAGGACACAACATGGTCCTTATATGAGTGAGGGGGATTATTTGGATCTTAAGTCAGGGCCTTTTGCCCTTGGCTATTTGCAAGGAGATTGGTCAGTATCAAAGAGTCATGGTGACATCATGGGAAAATCTTTATGAGAGTTGAATTCAGTAAAACGAGTTGCTGCAACACATCAAAGAGGATCTTACAAGTCTCTGCTTGTTGCAGCTTTATTTGATTTATGAATAGGCCATCACTCTGTGTTTCTTTCACTTTCTCTGACACACACACTCTCCAGCACAGTCCCTCCGAAGAGATAAGCCTTCCTGGTCGTTTCTCTTTATAATACTGTAATCATTAACATTCTGCCCTTAGGAACAAGTCTCAAGGACGATACTCATGCTAGTAAGGAATCACAGACTACTTGGGAAAAGCTGAGGAGAAGCACAAATCATCCTGAGGTCAGTTCCAGACTTTCATATTTTTTTAAAATACCAGTCTACTAAGATCAAGTTTCAACTTGCCTTCAGAAAAACGTGCGGTGTGTAAACTTTTTTGTATGTGATTGCTCTCTTTGTTACAGAAGAATGCAAAAGAGACAATGGAGTACACCGCATTGCATACACTTCTCTGGCTTTTAAATGCATTTACTCTAACAACACAAGGTATGTAAAGTTATTTTTTAAGTTTAAACTCATTTGTTCAGAACCAATACTCATCGTAGGTCAAAAATTATTATGGTTATACAGAAGGAAAACTATCTCTGGCTCTTTTCTCTAAAAGTTTAGATATCAAGTCGAGTTTATAGTTCCCAAAAGTAGCTGGAATTGTGCTGATGACAATGCTGAACAAACATGGAGCTTTTGTTCTTCTGTATTTCCGTATAATATTTGTATCTTTGTCAACAGAGTTGGTGAAACTGAATGTGAGTCCCAAGATTACTGCGGAGTGCGGCAAACAGGTTACCCTAAACTGCGACGTGTCCTCATCTCCAAATGGACTATCAATCAAACAAATGGCGTGGATCCAAAACCAAACTTCTCTCTGTTCAGTAGACAAGGAAGGAAAAATCAAACCCCACAGCCGAAGTGACTTCCATTGTGAGTACAAACATGGACAACTGTCCCTCATCTTTAAAAGAGTGCGGCCACTGGAGAGCGGAAACTCAAAGCCTTACACCTGCAAACTACAATCCAACCGTGGAGCTTCCGATGCAAAAACAATCGTGGAGGTACAAGGTCAGTGTCAACAGTGTGTTTACATTCAGTGTGACTCACCCAGTTGGGTTGTGTGCATCCTTGTGGACTAACATACGTGTTAAATGCATGTCCTGCTTCTTTATAAAAACATTTTTAAAAGCGTATTTGTTATATATTTTGAATTATGTATTGTTAACATTCGTTTTACTAAATAATAGTCTTCTTCCTAACAGCCTTTGTTGGCTTATTGTTGCTTGCTTTGGAAAGGGGAGACCTGCTCATAAATAACAGCTCAATAGAGATAACAGTTATAGTAATAGTATACATTTGAGTTATTTGAGTATATATCTTTTCTGTAATCTTTTCTTCTACCCTCCAATACATTTATTTGAAAGCTTCAGTAACTAATATCATGTGTTAGTCTAGATCAAATATTTTTTTCTAGCACTTTTTCTCATTTTTTAATAGGCGACTTGATAAATAAATATATGCAGAGGAGAATATCGTTTTAGCATATACAGTATATACATTTTTAAATGTAGCATGTGTGACCATGACTGGCAGTCTGGTTGCAAATGGGGCAAATCAAAGTACTGTAAGCAAGATTAGAAAAAGAAATACATTTAAATGTACAAGACAATGATGTTTAAGAAGGATTACATATTAGGATGAAGTTAAATGTTATCTTTGAATATCGTTTATGTTTGGATTTTGACATTTATGGTGGTTTGCTTTTGAGGACTGTGGAGCAGGGTAGCCAATTGCCCTTTATGGATTAGCTGCTTAATTACTGGACTGTAGGGCTCTGCACTGTGATATTTGAGTAAATTCAATTTCCAACACTGCTCCCTTGTGATTGGTATAGATTTGATTGTGGAAATCGGTGAGTACTATGTCTTGAAGTGCATTTTTAAAGTTAATTTAGATGCTCTTCTTATGGTCTTCCCCTCAGAGTGTTGTTGGTCCGTTGAGGGTGTTTGGAATGAGGGCCGTCCCACCTGCACCTTCAGACATGTCTACCCGGACGGAGATGTGCACTGGTTTCACGGCTCCCACAATCTCTCAGATGGCTCTGTGAAGCAACACACTACGAAACAGGTGCACAACGGTTGGCTGACTATCCATAGTTACCTGGAGCACAATCTTTCAGGTGTTCCCTACAACTGTTCCTTGAAGAGCACAGCATCTGGTAGATACATTGCTAGTTCTTTGGTTGAGAATCCTGACCTGCATGCGCAGAGAGCCAGAGCACAGGTTCATAAAACCCGAGCCAGGAACGGAGTTGGATCACAGCGACCTATGTGGACATCTTTCTTTGTTTTAATTTCACTTGCTGTCACACTGAAATAATGGATTTGACAAAGTAAATCCACATAATGGAGTTGGGTAAGATATCAGGGGTAAAGTGATTAACATTGATTAGTAACAAAGAGGTACTACATTGTGTGCATTTCTAACAATCCAAGATATAAGTGTTTTAAATTGGTCCAAAGATATATGGTTCTACTTTTCAGCTTTTAAAAAAATACCTTTGTTGTTTTGTTTTGATAGAGTCACGCATGAGTGAGCAGCACATACTGGTTTCATTACACACACTCACACATAACTTCAGATGTTTAAAAAGTCCTTCTGGCTACTACTTAAGTTCAGCCTGAAGATATACTGTACACCCTATGGCCACGGATTAGATTGTATTTATTTCTGAGAGAGTGAGATGAAAATGTCTGTTGAAAGACATAGTGTGCCCACTATGTCTCAACGGGATGATTGTCCATCTACGGCTTCTGTGGGAATGCACACTTTCTGCAAGAGAAAAAAAATTATCTGTCAATCGCGAGTAAAAAGCAGTCCTCAAAAGATGAGCTCTGCTGTGAATTCCCCCTCGGACACACAGAAGCATTTGTGTGTGAAATATCAAAAAGCCAGACACAGGAAATCTCCCTCATGCAATGTCTCTGACTCTGTTGTGTGGGTGGATGCTGCCCTCTGGTGAACTATGATGAGTGCAAGATATGGCAAATAACTGTTTCAGGTTTATTGGGAGACTACAATCTTCTGAGCCACACTCCTGACATCCAATGCTCTTCAGTTTTATTGGACCGGTTGCAGAAAATTAAGAGATTAATATCGGACACCTGGGCAATCAGAATGAAATCTGTGTAGCTAAAAATCACTGAGTGATGAAATGCATTTTTGCGATTCGGGTGAACCAAATATTTAAAAAAAAAAAAGGGATTGATTTACAGTATTTGTTAGAGTATAATGTGAACATGCAGTGACAGATAGAGCCTAGGTTGTCAGGGTTGCATTTGGGTTTTAAATCTGATCAACATCGAGTGTCCTGAGTGCAGCAGACGAGTAAGATAACGGATACCAATCTTTTCTCCTGGTCTCCATCTCCACTCAGCCCTGTGTCTTTGCAGGTACAGTATAGGTTAAAGCTGGAGGACCCACCCAGCTCTGAGGCTAAAACCCTGCATTGTTAACACCTCAATGCCCCACTTCAGAGAAGGCATGTGAGAGGCTTTTAACCCTCCTATTGCCTTCGTTTCCCCCCTCTTACTTTGGTGTTCACGGTCAAATTTGACCGGTCCTGTTTTAACTGCTATTACATTAACACAAAAACCATTAATCATCACCAAATTTCATTTAACACCCTTTCAAACTGTAAATATTGTATCAGATTACTGGTATACAGGAACAACTGCAGTAAATATACAAAGAATAGACACTGAACATGTATTGTGTGTGCCAGGTGTGATTCACATGGGGGGATTGGGCACATAAGGGGACACACACACATATCTAGAGTGTGTGTGTGTGTGTGTGTGTGTGTGTGTGTGTGTGTGTGTGTGTGTGTGTGTGTGTGTGTGTGTGTGTGTGTGTGTGTGTGTTTAATAAGACACTGCTCAGCTGAGAGCAAACTGGGTGATTGACAACGAGGTTATTTCAATTCAATTGCACATGGATAGACACACATGAACACACACACTCACATTAATAGTTTTGACTAACACTGCCTCTGACAATCTTATTTTTATAAAAATATTATCTTTGACTAATTAAGTATACTGTTAACTACACCTACAGTACACCACATATTGCACTGCAAAATCAAAGCTACTTGTTAAATAAACACAAAGAATAATGTTTCCACAGACTAAGTGGTGAGTACATTATTCAAAATGGTAATATTTGTAACATAACTCAAAAAGAAAATTCAAACTTGAAACAATCACAGTGATAAGCTTTAAAGGGATCTGTTTGAATATGACATTATGACACTCATATGAATCTTTTTAACTTGTTTTTAACATATTATGACTTTATATACAAATCAGCTGACATTAACCATTATAAAAAAAAATGTAAGCTTTGAGGAGGGATTCTTTGAAGAGAAAAAAAAAACATTACAAAATGAATGTATTTGTTTTTTCCCCCTGTATAGATAAAAGGGAAGATTGGATGTATATTTTCGATTCACATTATATATGTATGCCTGTATGTATTTCTTGATTTACTGTGGCTTGGATTGTACCTCATTTCTATGGGGACTCACGCGACCCCCAACCTTCCTTATATTACATGTAAATGAGTGCATCCTAATGTAGGCAGAACGCCACAACATCAGTCTTTAGAAAGATTTCGATTTTGAAATAAAATCATGACAATGAAGCTATAACAATAACAATAAAACCTTTGAATCTATACATGTGTTCTTTCTCGTATTTCTTTAATGTCTCAAAATACATTTACAGCAATAACATTCCTAAAACCAATGCATCTCAAAAGAAAAGCATGCAAACAATTCTTGTGATATGAAAATACGATGGTAGATTCAAAATGTAGGTTCTATTTTGTATCTTATTCAAAGACGACAAGAGGTCCATTAAGTGCTCAGAAAACACAGAGGATGAAGAGAATCATGAGATGTAATGGTTGTGTGTTGTGGCAGTAAAATTATATTTCCTCTCCACATCAGAGCATCTTGATTATGAAGTCTCTGTATTTGTAGCATACACTTCTCACCACAAGAGGGAACAAGTTGCACACTCAACAGCCTTCCTCTGAACAAATAGTGGTTACTCACTGATGTTTAATGTTGATCCTTGGCTGCAGGGTTCAAAGGGGCCAAATGACTACTCAGAGAACTTTTTCACTGCTCAATCAATGCTTTGCTACATAACAAAGGTTGATGTTAAAACTGTATGTTAAATGACTTCTAGACTAATGTGTCGTACATTTCGAAAATGTATTAAACACATTCAGCTGTGACTTTGTTTCTCAGTGCCAAATTGTTTTGTGGTTGGATTTCTTGTTTCCTCTTAGCATAACTGCTGTATGTCGGTGGTGTATTAGCCCCAGCAGGATGTTCTCTGTTATAGCAGAAGCAGGGCTTGTTTCTGCAGGTGGCCCTTCTGCCTTGTTACATCATCTCTCAATGTTTGAAGTTTACTTCACCTGTGAGCTCCTCATCTGGGCAAAGTACACAGTGGGGGGGTGTTGGGTGTATTCACTGAGATGTGTGTAAACAGGGGCTTCAGGTCAAGTTCCCATGGTAACTGAGAGGTGTCTCGCTGTGTGTCCCTGGCTTGGTCTGTGTGTGTGTGTGTGTGTGTGTGTGTGTGTGTGTGTGTGTGTGTGTGTGTGTGTGTGTGTGTGTGTGTGTGTGTGTAGTGTGTGTGTGTCTGGCTTGGTCTGTGTGTGTGTGTGTGTGTGTGTGTGTGTGTGTGTGTGTGTGTGTGTGTGTGTGTGTGTGTGTGTGTGTGTGTGTGTGTGTGTGTGTGTGTGTGTCAGGCCAATTATCCCAGCGGGCTGTTATCTGCTCTCAGAGAGGTTTACATTATCACCCTGACAGCCCGGTGACCATTGGTCACGTGAGCAACCACAGATGGTTTCACCATACACAAGAGCATAGTGGGGGTGCACAGATCAAAAGAAACAAGATAAGAAACTGACCTACCAAAAAACACGGCAGGATGGATAGATGGGAAAAGGAGGGAGTGAGAAGACAGCGGGATGGAGGAATGGAAAGAGGAGATAAAAGCCAGATTCTGTCAACAAACAGAGCAGACTAATGTGAAGCACTGATAGCCTGTTACCTAACGTTACGGTAAATGGGAGTTGGCTTGGGAATAATTGCCCAAAGAGCTGATCTGCACGAGGTTCAGTGTTGTTAGTGACACATGTAGCCCAGTTCCTTTAGACAGCCATGTGTTTTCTTTCTGACTACGCAGTTACAGTTTCTATAAAAATCCCTTCTAATAATTTTTAGATCATGCAGATTTAGCTCACACAGACTTTACACAATTTTTTTTAAATGCTTAAACTGATTTTATAACTTCACGATGCAATACAGCATTACAATACTGTAAACAAATTCAAGTACATGTTTGCATTTGATTTTTTCAACACAAGTATTGTCGACAAAATGTTATTAAAAAATCTAAACTACTATTTTGCAGTGTGTTATTATTTGTTATGTGGATCATGTTGGGAAAGTGGGGAGGCTATTGGGGAGGACGACGCATGTCTTTCAACACAAACTTTAATTCACTTTCACATCTGAGAAGTCTGTAAATCTATAAAGAACATCATATTTTATTATATGTTTTTAGTTTGAAACCTTCAATAGCTTTGATTTTTTGCCAAGAGTAAAAAGTACAATATTTCCTTAAAGTGGACCTATCATGCTATATTTGAATAATATAGTGTAGGTCCATACCTATATAAGGCATATTTATACTTTTTTTTTTGCAAAATACCAAACAGATTTTAGCCATGCCTCATTTTGCTCAATTTGACATTTTTTAGCTCTGTGTTTGTAAGGGCAGATAAGGGCAGAACAGCACCATCTACAGGCCTGGCATATGTACTACAGCGTCTCCAGCGCTTTCGAACGGCAATGGCCGTGGCTGTCTCCTCCTGATTGGTGGAGTTGGGCCAATAGCCGTAGTGCCACTGTCCTGACGTCAGGACAGTGTTCAAATCTGGATTAGTTTTTATCAGATCCGTTGCAGCCCCTTTTTTAGAGATTTGGGTATGGAGGAAAATAGAGAGGGTTGTGTTTTCTGACACTTGGTGAGTTCCCTGGAACACCGGGGACACATATTAATGTATAAAAGACGTACAAAAGAGCATTTTGCATGATAGGTCCCCTTTAAATTTAGTAGTATGTTATAACCTTAAAAATTGTATTTAAGTCCAGTATTGAGTACATGTACTACAGTATGTTTATAGGTCACAGCTGCAGAAAGAGGGCATTGGTGGCTCAAACACTGATTGAACTATAATATCTGTGTTCACTCATCCTTTCCCCACTTCATCCATCCTCCGCACCATAAACATTATCTAGCAGATCGGAGAGCATCAGGGACTCAAACATTTCCAATGTTTCTGCCAAGACTGAATTCATTTCAATGCTGTCTTGTATTTCCACAAGAGGACAACCTCCATGTGTGTACATTCAGTGTTAATCCAGACTCCTGAAAGCTGCTGCTGCTTTACAGAGATCAATAGATGAATAGAGCAGCAGGAAGACTTAGTGCTACACTGAGAGGAGAGGCTATACTTGAAAGGTCACAACAGGAGAAAAATAAGTGTTGAAAGGCATGAAAAACATTAAAGATCAATATACACTGTTATATGTTCCAATGCTGATGCCCAAAGCAGCAGCAGTCTGGTAGAAAGCTAGAATATAGAATATGGAAAGATATTTTATAGATAAAAACACAAATAATTAAATATCTTTATAAATTATGTATATAAATATATGAGGCAATTTATAAATAAATGGAAATAGAAGTGTATACATTTTATTTAAAATAATTGTTTTCAAAGACATATTTGAGGGGAATTATATTTTATTGATTCCACCTAACTAAGGGGAATTTACTAATACATGCATTGGCTTTCCATCTTAGAAAGCCTCAAGGCAAACACGGGGTAAAGTCATAATAAGATACTAAAATGTTTACAGTTAATGCTGAGATGCTTAAATTAACACTATGATTGTAAGTCTTACTTCCAGGTGTTATACATGAAATGAAGTATGGGCTGTCAGTGTTGCCACTTATTTGACAAACTAAGCTTGAAAGCTGTGTGAATGTGTCCTGGGGCCTCATTTATAACGCCTTGCGTAGGATTGACGTGAGAAGGTTGCTTACGTAGTACAAAGCAAAACAATAGGTACAGAAATTTTCCAACATTTTCCGATTCACAAAACATTGCGTACCGGCGAGGGAAGTGTGTACCGGCACTTCCTACGCCTGTTTCCCTTTATAAATCACAATCGACTCGAAATGCGGCGCAGCTTTTGCAGGCTTCACGTAACGCCCATATTTGCCTATAAATAGTCAAAGAAACGCCCATTCATTCATTCATTTTTGACTGACTGCATGAAGAAGATCGCAGGAAATTACGACCGAACAGCTAAAAAAGACATCTCACACCGTGTCAGATTTTGGTTATTTTGGGGAGGTCGAGATAAATCATATTGTTTGGTGGATGCAGTTTGAACCAGAGTAGCAGCATGGAGGTCGGATCGTCACCAAAATAAATAAATAAGTGGTCCGAAAAAAGTGAATGACAAAAAAAATACACATAACCTTCCTCAGGCAGTGTGTTTGTCCCGGGGACAGGAGACACCCCCTTGATGAGAAACTGT